AAAATAAATAAATTATTTTTGGGTATTTTTTATCATTAGAAAAAATAAATGCAAGTAATAAATATAAAATATGCAAGAAAAATGCAAAAATATAAGAAAATAGTCAGGGGGTGCAAAAGTAATCCAGGGGGTGCAAAAAGTGGAAACAAAAAGGCCAGGCGCGCCAAAAAGCCCAAGCCAGTCATCTTCTTCCCTGTCCTTCAGTTATGTGCGCGTATTATGTTCAAACCTACAACTTGCTCATGCTTGCACAAAAATAAAAACCCATAACATAAAACATGTAGCATTTAATCTCACGATTTCAACCATGTAAAATTTGTAACCTAACTCTCAAAGATCAGAAAGAATTTTATTGGCCCTAATTCGTGACCTAATTTTTTTATGAACTTCAAGCTTCAAATTCTCACAGCATAGTTAATATAAATGGAAAGTATGCATATGTACAGCTTCACCATGTTAAGGACTACATTTCTGCTTCACAAACCGTGGCTTGAGGATGCCTAAATACAAAGATAGAGTTTAAGAAAAATACCTCCTTCAGCTGGATTTGGATATGACAATGTGGAGACTTTGAGTGAGGCCTGGGGATCATGTGAGCTTCCTTGAACTTCCTTCAAGCTATTCCAATGCTTAGCTTGCTTTGTGGATGGCTGAAACTCTTTGCACAAGTCAAGTTGCAAGCTCCAACTTTGAAAATGGCAATGGCTGAAACAGAGCTTACAGATGCAGGATGAAAGCTTGGATAGATTTGGTAGGATATATGGAAGGTGTTTGAAGTGTTGAAACAAAAAACGCACGAGCCAAAAATGAAATGGCTAGATTTTTGCAGAAGTTCTGAGTGTGGGCGAAAATTTGGTGTTTTGGAGTTTTTAGTGAGTTCTGGATGTCAATCCCTCGTGTTTAGCCTTGCAATGAGTTTGTATATTTGTATATAATGATACAAAGTTCACTCCTTATCAGCTGTACAAGTTCTAACCTCTTTTGCAACTTTTCTTGCATTTGAAGAAAAATGAAGTGACCAATGCAAACATGCTTGTACTGGCTGGCTTGTGAGCTGCAGAGAGTTGGTATACATTGCTTGTGGCCTGTGGAAATTTTTTGCATCAAAGGGACAGGTCCAAGGCTCAAGATGGACAAAGTTGCAAAAGCTCACTTTATGAAAATGGCATTGTGAACTTTATGCCTAAAATGAAATTACAACTTGTACAATGCTTCAAAAGTGAAAATAAAGTCTTTAACCTCTGAGTTTGCATTTAATTATGGAGTGTAGAATGAGTTTATGACCTGTAATGCAAGGTACAAGCATCATGGATCTGATTTGCAACTTGATACTTTGTGAAAATGGCATGAACAAAAGTGATAAAAATGCCAATTTCTCTTCTTCGATTCTCCCTAACCACAAATAATTTTGGAGAGTTCTTGGACATTTTAGAAAGCTTGAAATGTGATCTATAATCCATCTTTGAAATGCATTTTTAGATACCTCTTGGAACTAGGTGAAAAATGTCCATGAAGTTGGGTCAAAAAACTGCCTAAATTAGGGAAAATTTTCACTAAGTTATTTAGTTCATGGACCTATATTCACAAATTCATAACTTGATATCCAAGCATATTTTTGGGAAAATTTTGTGAAGAAAAGTTGTAGATTTCATGGAGGACTACAACTTTCATGTTAGAAGTTTTCTTTTAATCAAATTGCATCATGGTGAAAAAGTTGTGGAGAGTTGGGAAAAAAATAAGAAAATCTCCATACTTAGAAAAATTCTAAGTTATGAAAATTTTCAAATTCAAAACCCTAATTTTCAAAATTGGTTTTCTTGGTCAACAAGTTTTATGTTTTGACATATCTTGGTGAATTATGACCCTTGGCACTTGATTTTGACCAAAAAGTCAAAGTTTGACTTTTTAGTGTACAATTGACTTTTGATCAGTTGACTGCAAAATTCATTTGTCAATCCAATGAACTTGAGATCTTTTGAACTATGTGATTAGGTCAAGATGATGCCATTGAACCCTTGAAATCATGTTTGAACCCAATTGGTCATTGGCTTGGTTAAAAATCAGAAATTGCCCTTCTTTAGTCAAAACCCTAATTTTGACCATTTTGCCCTTTTGATGATTTGATCAAATTTCTTGAGGAGTTGTGATCCAAACTTGATAAAATGGTACATATGAGTCTAAAATGTTGATGTGGATCAAAAATTATGAAGTTTGACTGTAAATTGGCCATGGTTGACTTTTCCCCCAATATAATTGATTTTTAGGTCAACTATCCAATTGACTGATAAAAAATGTGGTTCAAGGCTTGAAACTTAGTATGAGCAATTTTAGGGATCCAACATGATGTATGAAAGTCACATGAAGCATTGGTGGTCCAAAAATCCTTGTGCAAACTCAAACCCTAATTTGGGGTCATCAGTGCAAGATGAGATGTCTTGAGCTGAGCAAACCCTAATCTTGTCTTGAGTCCAAGAAGTCTTGTGAGAAAAATCTTGATAAGTGAGAGGGAAAATTTTGGGGTACAACACTACCCTCCGAACTCAAGAAATAATCTCAAAGGTCTTTCCTGTGCTTTTTCACCTTTCCTTTTGGATAAAAGGAAAGTCGGTGGCGACTCTTGCTAACCGCAACATTTGCGATCAAATGCAAAACACTCAAGTCAGTTCTTCCACCGTATCACACTAGGATATGGGTTTATCTGATTTTCCAAGGGACTTAGCTCTTCATTATGCCATATAATCCCACAGTTGAAAGAGAACACATGGATTTTTTTCATACCTAAAGTTAATCCATGTTGTTCCTTCCTTTTTGTTTCCAATGTGAATTCTTGGTTTTAGAGGTTTTTTGTTGTCAAACTGAATTTTAGCTTTAAAAAGCATGTCGTTCTTTGGATATTGGTGTATACTGGTTTCTAGAATTGTCCCAATCTTTGATCCAATTTTGTCTCCCATTTGTTTAGTTTTGATCTTTGGGGGAATTCCCCATAGTTGAACCCAAATGGGAACATTGTTGAATTCCATCTGCTTAAGATTGTAATCTTGGCTCCATGGTTTGATAGAGAGCCACACATTCCTGAAGATCTATGGGTTTCCCTTTAGAATGTGTTTCACATCTTGGGGATTATCCATAGCAATACATAGTAATCCTGGTTCAATTTCGGAGATTTAGAGCCTTTCTTGATCACATCAGATACTAGAGAGACCAACATTGAGAGAGTTTTTGTGGATAAATTTATCATATAAGAATTTTCCCAGAACAATGTTTTTGTTTTCTCTGAAATATTCTTTTATGTTTGTTTCATCGCACACGCAGAAGTCTGAATCTCCTTCTTCACTTTTTTCATAATCCAGATTGACTTGATTGGTTTGGTCTTTGTTTTACAGGTTTTCCCAGTCCTTTTCAATACCCACCCTACCTCCTCACAGAGTTAGGGTATCTGGAATCTTGATAATGGGGTGTTGAATTGCAAGAGAATTCTAAATTGCGAGAATTTTTTTGGGGTTAATGGCTAGGTCCGAGCGAGACCTTTTTCCACTCACCAAGATTTGAGGTTCTTCCATGGAAGCAGGCAATCCACAAATTGAGGATAACCAGAAAAAGAGCCATAGTAGCGATACAGACCTCAAAAACCAAGAAGAACGATCAAAGGTCTAAAACTCACCACAAACCTATGAAGAAAATCGAGCAAGACACTGAATACATTGATCCACGAGAAAGGAGAAACACCACCGAAGAAGAACAATTAAGACACTAGAGAGAAGCAGCAGTTTTTCCGTTGGAAAAAGAAACGACACTCATTCAAAAGAGGAGGAACCTACAGAATCTGGGCCAAAACTATCATAAGCAAAACCACCTCGAAGGAGAGAAGTTAGAAGGAAAAACTCTGTGTAGACTAAAGAATCTACGCAATGGGCCAAGAGAAGTTCTTAGAGGATTTATTTCGACTATCCACATATTGTAAATTTTAATGGTATCTTTTGATGAAAAAATCACAACACTCCAATGTTATTGCAACAATATACCAACATTTTATTCTCATTTAATTCAAATATCAATATTAATTGAGTTACCTCAACCACTCTTATTTTATATATACTTATTAACTAAATCTCTATTTTGAAAAATTAAAGTGTAAAGTTTTACAACTTGTCAACAAGTTTAATATTGCAACCAATTTTTTTCTTCTATTTATGTTATTTATTCAATGAAACTTTATATCTATAACAAAAATAGTATAAAACTATATTTTACTTATAGATATATTTAAGTTATTTTTCATCTAACACAAATATATAGTATTAATTTATAAGAAATATATTTTAAAAAATAATAATAAACCTATTTTAAAATTTATAAAGAGCCTTATTTTAGAAACAAACAAAATTTTAACATAAGTTTACTATAAAAACTTAACATAATAATATAAAGCGTATGGATCTAAGACATTCTTAGTTTATATCAACTCACCAAAAAATTAGTGTTCACTATATAAGTTAAGTTATGGTGTATTTTGGACGGCTAAATTAAATTAGATATAAAAACATTAAGTTTTGTTTCAAAAGCATAAGTTAAAATAACTAGATACAAAAATATTAATTTGTAAATTATGCATTCAACATCTAAAAAATTTTAAATTTATTATTTTGTCTATTTCTATAATATATAACATGTATCTTTATACAATATAAATCTAAATAAATATCAACTCGACCAAGGTCATTTTCTAATCCATATAAGGTAGTTGAAAATTAAAATCTGAATGAACAAGAAAGAAAGGAAACTCCAAGGCAAAGGTTAAAACAACGCGCTTAGAAAAAAAGACATAGCGAAATTTCAAAATTTCAATCACCAGCTTATTTTGACCAGAGTTATAAAAATATTCAACATGATCACTATTTAAATGCCACCAAAATCAAGATATTTCTTCACATTCATTCACATTATTTTTTCCCTTAAGCTCTCTCTCTATATATCAACACACATTTTTTAACAATCTAGACATGGTTCTTCAACTCCAGTTAACAGCAAAATTATTGGCTGTGAGTATCTTTCTAACTCTGGTGAATTTCTACATAGCTGAGGCTGGTGTTAGACATTATAAATGGGAGGTGAAGTATGATTTTAGGTCCCCTGATTGTTACAAGAAACTAGTTATAACCATTAATGGAAAAACTCCAGGACCCACCATTGAAGCACGAGAAGGTGATACTGTTATTGTTGAAGTTAACAACAATTTGCTCACAGAAAATCTTGCCATCCATTGGCATGGTATCAGACAGATTGGAACTCCTTGGTTTGATGGAACAGAAGGGGTATCTCAATGTCCTATACTACCTGGAGATAACTTTGTTTATCAATTTGTTGTTGATAGGGTAAGCCTGACTCATCGTGATTCTGCCAAACTCACCGTTGATCCAAACATGATTAACTCATTTATCGGTTGCTTTTCAATTTGAACATTAATAAGCTACATTAGTATAACAAATCATAACATAAGAATGTGTTCATATCTAATTTGGTTGCATGTTTAATGTAACAGCCTGGTACATATCTTTATCATGCTCACTATGGAATGCAAAGAGAGGCAGGGCTATATGGAATGATTCGTGTAGCATCTAATGATACTGAACCCTTTTCTTATGACTTAGATAGAAGCATTATTCTGAATGATTGGTATCATAACAGTACTTATGAACAATCAGCTGGATTGTCTTCAATCCCTTTTGAATGGGTGGGGGAACCTCAGGTAAATGAAAATTGATGTATACTAATTCGAAATCAAAAATTATATTTTTCTTCTTCTTTTTTTCAACCGTCTAACTGTTGTTTTTATTATTTCTTTGAATATTTGGTTTCAATAGTCACTTTTGATTCACGGAAAAGGAAAATTCAACTGCTCCTTAACTGCTGATGTTTGTAACTCAACAAACCCTCAATGCTCTCCCTTTGTGCAAACTGTCGTCTCAGGAAAAACATACAGAATTAGAGTTGCAAGCTTGACTGCTTTATCAGCTCTTAGTTTCCAAATAGAGGTAATCATTCATTCACTTAATCATTCTAAGTATCATCTAGGCTTTTAAAATAAGGCCTGCGGCCGGCGTCTTAGTTGCAACCAACCGCAATTTAACCTTGATTTCTTTTTCCCTAAATTGCTTTTGCATCACTAGTTCTAACATGTTTCTAATTCTGCAGGGTCATAACATGACTGTTGTTGAAGCAGATGGACACTATGTTGAGCCTTTTGTGGTTAAGAATCTCTACATATACTCAGGTGAAACATACTCAGTTCTTGTGAAGGCCAATCAAGATCCATCAAGAAACTACTGGATCACCTCCAATGTTGTAAGCAGAAACAGAACAACTGCACCTGGTTTAGCCATTTTCAACTACTACCCAAACCATCCAATGCGGTCCCCACCAACACCTCCGCCTACTCCGCCAGCTTGGGACAATGTTGAGTCAAGACGAATTCAAAGCCTTACAATCAAAGCTCACCCAAATTACACAATCAAACCTCCCACAACCTCAGATAGAGTCATAGTTTTGCTCAACACACAAAACACTATAGACAAAATTCGCCATTGGTCTGTTAACAATGTATCATTTTCCCTACCTCACACACCTTATCTTGTTGCACTTAAAGAGAACATAAATGGTGTATTCAACCAAACACCACCACCTGATGGCTATGATTTTAATAACTATGATATTTTCAGTGTGGCTAACAACACAAATGCTACTTCTAGCAATGGAATTTATAGGCTGCAGTTCAATACAACAGTGGATGTTATACTTCAAAATGCAAACACTATGAATAAAAACAACAGTGAGACACATCCTTGGCATCTTCATGGGCATGACTTTTGGGTACTTGGATATGGAAACGGTAAGTTTGATGTGAACAATGACCCCAAGAACTATAACTTGGTGAATCCCATTATGAAGAACACTGTGCCAGTGCATCCTTTTGGTTGGACTGCTCTGAGATTTCGGTCGGATAATCCTGGTGCGTGGGCCTTTCATTGTCACATAGAGTCTCATTTCTATATGGGGATGGGAGTGGTTTTTGAAGAAGGAGTTGATAGGGTTGGGAAGCTACCCTCATCCATCATGGGTTGTGGCAAAACCAAAAATCTTCTTAGGCCTTAATTAAACAAGAACTTTCATTTATTTTGTACTTTATATACAAATTAGCCTTTTGCTCAGTTTAAACCAATTCTTCTTCAAAAGAATCATCATGATATGTATTTTTTAATTATTGATTGTAATATACAAATCGTGCCGGCCTCATTGCATAGGTTGTAAAGTGTAACCGTACTTATGAAAAAAAATTAATCTAAACTAATTTTATTTTGAAATTATCTTTTTATCTTATGTTGGATACAACCTATAGTAGTCTACTTCTCTGGTCTTCTCCGCTCATTGTCACAGCCAACTTGCACATGAGTGTGATACAAACTCTACAAAGTCAATCTCTTACAAATATCTTTGACCAAGTTGCTACTTCTACGCAAGCTTATCTTCTGTCATTTTCAACACATGCATCTATTGTATTTTCTCTGTCAAATATGGTTTACACCAGCTAGCCCGGCATAATGTTGAATTACTTTGAAAATAGGAAAGTTATACCACTATTAACAATGCAATCCTATTCTTCTTCAGAGAAAAAGTAAAGCTCATAACAATATATGTAATAGCTATTAAGATGCAAGTATCTATTGTAGTCTGGTACTCAGCTCTAGGCATCTCTAGTCTCCTCAAGCAACTCAGAATTGGTTATTTTCTGTTAGTTGTAACTAACCTTCACCATGGGTAGTGGCTATAAGTATGGCCTTAGGAGGGAAAAGATCAATCTGAACTTTTCATATTTGAGTACAAGTAGTTAGTGAGGAAAAGAGAAAAAGAAACCCTGAGAATATCTTAGAAGGATTCTTAGTGATTCATAGCTGAATCATCCTTGATGATTAAGGTGTAAACTCTCAAATTCATATAGTGATCTGTCAATTGGATTATGTGTCAGAGATATAGGAGCAAATGGCTCTGAAATTCGTTAACATATTTTGGTGCTCCCTATCTTCTTTCTCATTGCTTACTGTTTTATTTTGCATTATCGGAGTCTCTTTCTTTTTAGTTCCTGAGCATTTAATTAAACTAAAAGTATATATCAGTACAAATGACAGGATTAGATATCTCTTTAGAAAGTTGCTACTTACTACTTGTTAGCAACTTGAAAGCTAACAAATAGGCAATTTCTTGAAGAAAAACTCATTAGATGTCACAAAAAAAAGGCTATACATAGTCAAGGAAAAATCAAGATAATCTCAAGAAAACTTTAAAGACTATATCAACAAAAGTTTTGTTATAGAACCATTCAGCATACAGTAGATGGATAACAATGTGAACTAACTACAAATTTCCCAAGAGTTTCACTTCAGCAGAGAAAGAAGTGCAGAACAAACTAAAATAAACTGAGCAACAGTAATGGAAAAACGGCGTGAACCGATTACAAATTTCTCATAGTTTCACTTCATCATCAGCATCGCATTCATAAACCATGGTGATCTTCAATCTCCACCATTGGTTTGACCTGAGGCATGGGAGACATATCTGCAGTAGTGAAGCCAGCAGCACAACCTCCACGTCCATCAAGAGCAGAACAGGTTCCTTCCGACACCAGACCTGTAGTATCTGATACAGTAGCCGCTCCTTCCGATGCTCCCTGTCCTTCACCTCCTAAGATAGAGTCATAAGCCGCCGCAACAGGATTGATATGCGGAAATGGCAAATACACACTGTGCACAACTATCTTCACATTGCGAATGACGTCAGCCACCTTAACTCTCACATAGTTAATTCTCATTGGCGCAAGTGTCACTCCTCCACCTGAGGTTGTGATCAGAAGCGGCTGGCCTCGTTCCAATGTAGGCAGAGCAGTACCAACGGGAAGTTTCTCCAGATCCGTTATGGACAAGTAATGATTAGGCACGATATGGAACCGTATATTGCTGATATATGATTGCGAACCGGAAAATATGGAAAGATCATCCACGGCGAAAATAGTCATGTTCTGGAGAGTTATGAGCTCTGCGTATTTTACCTTCATAGCTAGGGAGAGTATACTGAAACCGTTATTACGTAGCCTGAGCATTGCATCCCTGAGCATGAGACGCATAATAGCAGGAAGCAATGTAGTTCCGTGAGTGTGAGCATGAGCATGTGCACCGGAACGGTGATCCGGATGGAACGGGAAGGAGAGTGAAGTCATTCTTTCTACGTCGCAAGAAAACGGAGATAGCGTAGAGACGAAACCTTGAAGACCGTGAACCACAATCATTCCGTTGTTGAAGAGATCCGGCTGTGTGATCTCCACGCCTCCGATGAAGATCTTCGCAGCGGCACCGGTACTATTGCTCTGATGAACTAAATCGGAAGTGACGGTTATACAACGGCCGGGACTCAGTGTCTCGATCTTGGTGCCAAAAGCAAGTCTCCGCAAGTACTCGATCGTGAACAGACCTGGAACAATATGTTCACGAAGAAGGTTAGGAACAGAGCAAGAGAAGCAAGATCGGAGCGAGACATCGGAGGGAGCGAAAATCGTGGAAGGACCACTCCAAGTTGATGAAGCAGTGGTTGATGCATCAGACAACGACGGAGCCGCCGTCGCAAGCTCGTGAAAACCGAGATGAGACAAGATCGGTGGAAGCAATGCAGTGTGAGAGAAGAACGAATGTTCTTGAAGATCATGTGGAGGTGGAGGTGGAAGTGGCGGTGACATTGACGGCGTGAAGGAAGCTTCGAGTGCTTCAGTAGCATCAACCTTGGGAGCACAGAGCATAGCAGCAAAGAAGATTGCTACGATCAGCGAGAATCGCAGTGAGGAAAAGAAAGAAGAGCTTCCCATGGTGGTTAGAGAAGAAAAAGAAGAAGCAATGATTTTCAAGTCTGAGAGTGAAAATGAATGAAATGAAAAGAAAATACAGGGAGAACCATTTATATATTACACACGCGCGCGCGAATGAAACGGTTAGAGAATATTGTAAGCGTGCGAGTTAGTTACGCGGTTGTTAGAGTTTAGAACGTTTTTGAAAAATTTCGTTTGTAAGCGTGCGAGTTAGTTACGTGAGAAGAAGGTATTTTATCTTATTTTATTTTATTTTATTTTTTAATTGAATGGAAAAAGAAATAGAAAATAGAAAGTTAGTGGACCCGGGTTGTGGTTTGATATATCCGCAGAGAACCATACATACACACTATACAGATAGAGGAATAGAAAATGGCGCTCTCGTTCTCACTCTCCTCAGGCGTAACCGTTTCTAACCGTTTTCACTCTACTTGTATTTTGAAACCGAATGGGAAGAGTTGTAATGGGTCTAATAAGGTGTTATGTTCTGCGCGGAAGGATAAGACTCCGTTAGTTAGAATAGGTTTAGGGATTGTAGCGGCTTGGGTTATGGGTTTAACGGCGTTGGATGCGGATGCGACTAGAATTGAATACTATGCTACTGTGGCAGAGCCAATGTGTGAGCTCAATTACGCTAAGTCTGGGCTTGGTTACTGCGATGTTGTCGAGGGTTTTGGCGATGAAGCTCCTCTCGGAGAGCTTATCAATGTTAATTTCTTACTTAATTGTTTATTTCCTATATTAAAAAGTTTAATTAGTTGCTGAATGGATGATATTATTATACATTGCAGATTCATTATACTGCGAGATTCGCAGATGGAATTGTATTTGATAGTAGTTATAAACGTGCTCGACCTCTCACTATGCGGATTGGCGTTGGGAAGGTAGATATATGAGTTTTTGTTACTGTTAATTTTTTTTTTATGGTTAAATCCTTTTGCTGAGTTTGTAATTTTAAGGGTGAATGAGTTTTTCAGGTAATTAGGGGATTGGATCAGGGAATTTTGGGAGGGGAAGGAGTACCTCCAATGCGTATAGGTATTAAATTTGATTATAGTGTATAAGTTTCCTTGATATGGTATATGATACTTGCTAAATTAATCTACGGTTTTTTATCTAGGTGGGAAACGCAAGCTAATGATTCCTCCATTGTTAGCTTATGGTCCTGAACCTGCAGGGTGTTTCTCAGGTTTCATTTCATTGATTATTAATTGTTGCATTGTTATTAGGTAATTTAGTCCTCAACATGGATAATCCCTTTTCTTAGACCTAAAATACAACAAAGTAGTAGACACTTGAATGAAGAGATGAATCAATACTCATAAGTTAATTACTTGTGTAATTGCTCATATGCATTGCATTTGCACAACCTTTAGTATATTTTCTATCAATTTTGTAAAAATTAGCTCTATGCGTTGCGGAATTTTAATAAGTCGCTACTGTTTTGCGATGCTCTATTTAAGTACAAAGTGTTGTATGGTAGTAGCTATGTGGTGTGCTGTAGTTCTGTAGCGTAGTGGAGTTTGAAAAAATGCCTATTTTCCATAATCTGCAAGTGACAACGTTGTTCTCTAGTTACCATGTTCGAATTTGTTTTTGTGCCTGAGTATTTTTCATTGAAACAATTTTAAGATCATGGATTTGATTAGGATGAGCGGATATTGAACGCTACATTATTATCGGAAGAAGCACAAGTCATTAAATATGTTAGATTTTTACATTTTTGTTACTGATTCATTAGGTGACTGCAATATACCCGGCAATGCCACTCTTCTATATGACATTAAATTTGTTGGTCTTTATTCGGGCAATGCAAAGTGATGGAAATCAAAATCGATAAGATACATGCACACATATGAACCACAGATGGATTGGGTGAGTTTTTTTATCTTTTGAAAATAATGTATTATTAGTTTAGATAGCTGATATACTATCTAGCACTCAGATTATTATATCCAGCTTACTTTCTGTATGATCTGCACCTAAACTTGTTGGTTTTCCTTCCACGTTATCTGAATTGAATTGTATGCATAAATTTCAAATATTAACCATGTAACCAGGAGGCTTTTATGCATTTGTAGTTATATGCAGAACCTTCATGATAAAACATTGATCACTTGCTTTAGTAGTTTAACCAGTTGGTTTTTATTCCATCTAGTAAGCAGTATTAAAATTTGCTGACACACATAATCATAGTTAAGGAATACACAAGGTTTTTGAGAATATTTTTCTTATGCAATAGGGA